AGAAGAAGAAGAAGAAGAAGAAGAAGAAGAAGAAGAAGAAAGAAGAAGAAGAAGAAGAAGAAGAAGAAGAAGAAGAAGAAGAAGAAGAAGAAGAAGAAGAAGAAGAAGAAGAAAGAAGAAGGAAGAAGGAAGAAGAAGAAGGAGGAGGAGGAGGGGGGCGGAGTGGGAGGGGAGGAGGAAGGATCGGAGGAAGAAAAAGAAGAAAAGAAACCAGTGACAGGACTTTTTTATATAGAAAGGGGCTTCTAGGATCCATGACATCAATAGCAATAGTTTTGGAAAGTGGCCTCCAAATTTCAGAGCACTTTTCCATCCATTATTTATGTCACCTTTACAACAACCCTATAAGATTTCTGTTTGGAGAGTCTCACCATATGTACCTCAAGCTCAATTCTGTGGACTCCAGAGAAAGAGAAAAAAGAAGCAAGCTCTCATTTTGCTGTTTCCTAAGTTCCCCAAATTCCTTAACAACTGAACTCATCACCTTCCCCCCAAATCTTCTGAGGTTACCTCCCTATTTCTACAAGTGGTACCAACCACTCTTCTCCTACCTACCCAACCCCCAAAACTCAGGTCTCCTTTGACTCTGTTTCCCTACCTCCATTCAATTGCCTATGTATGTAGAGTATGCTTCTTCGGGATAGAATTCATCCTTTTAATTCCACTCCCATCCAATTCCCTATTGACTCTTATCTGGACTATTGATTCACCAAAGACTTATTGAGCATCTCCTCTGGCTAGTTGCTAAGGAGAGTGCCAAACAAGACAGGCTGATCCTATCCAACAATTTACCACATCAATGTTAAAAGTCCTTAGCCAGGCAGCCCTACACCTTCCTACCTGTGTGACTTTGGCCAAGGGATTTCTCTTCTTGGTCTTAGATTTGCCAAGTACCTCACAGGGTTTCTGTGACAACTAAGTGGATTAATCCATATAAAGGATGGAGCCTGGCACACAATAAAATTTGGCTATCAATTCTGTTTTCTCTGTTTCCTCTTCTGGGGGAGGGGTGGGGAGAACTGAGGAAGGGGATTAAGAAAAGTGAGAAACTTTTTAAATTGTTATGATAAGAAATTGGAGTAAGACCTGATTTGTGAAACACAAAAGCACCGTGGGACCAGAGAGGGTCAGCTGAGGCAAGTGACCATGAATTTGTAGTGGTTCAGTTATGAGGATTTTTTCAGCAGTACCAAGCACTTGAGTGAAGGCACAGAGAAGGTGATCAATTGATTTCACACAGTGTGGGGAGGTCCTTAGGTGGGTGCAACAGAACAACTGTGCAATGGAGTTGTAGATATTGCAAAGAGCAGAGTTGGAGAAATGGTACAGTTATAGAGAAAAATTCAATGGATGTATTGTAGTCATGAGGTTTCAATCAGGAATGGACAGCATGAGTTTGTCATTTCTAAGGTGAACAATTCTGGGAGGTGACAAAGTCCAAAATACACCATAGAAATGTGAGGTGGGATGTAGGTAAAGAACTTCACAGATGGAAAGGACAAGGTATTAAATGATGACACTGCATCATGCAGGGGGATAGTAGGATTGGGGGCAGAGACAAAAACTAAACCAGGAGCCATTACAAAGTCTGTAAGGAGTGAGAAAACTTGTCAGAGAGGTCAGCCAGAGAAATGTTAGCAGAGGAAAGAGGGTGACCAGGTTTTCATAATGAGGTAAAGGGCTACGGTGACAGACTTCTGACTCTCCTCAATTGGACCAAACCTAGAACCAATTAATATCTCCCAAGCCCAAAATGGATTATAACACTCCTCAGCACTAAACCCCAAAATGATAATCAAGGCATTCCACCATAAGGACCCACTTAGTTCCTACTGATTCTCCCTAAACCTTCTAAATTCCAACCAGACTGATAGGATCACCTTCTAGCCCATCTAGTACTTTCCTACAAGTTAGAAGAAAATTTGCGGATAACTGCAGTCCAGGGGCACCTGCTTGATGAGGGGACTGTCCTATTGTGTGAATTTCCTCTGAGTAGGTGCAGCTCCATGCCACAGCACATGGCTTGGTGAGCAGAACATGAACTGAATTTCAGCTAAATATACAGCCCCTAAAAAGGAAACAGGAAAGTCCCTTCAACTTAGAGGAGGACATGTTTAGAAGGTGGCATTAAACTGGCCCAAAGGGAAGGAGAAACAACCAGGGAAGAGCTTAAAGCAAAGACAGGATGGTCAAAGCAAACTCGGTAAGAAAAATAAATGGTTGGTCTTTTATAAAAGGCTCATGTGAGTACCAAGCATATTTGCTCCAGTGGAAAATAAAAATAAGAGCAGAATTTTTATAGTTTTCCAAATTGAATAGTATTTTTTATTCAAACTCTTCTATACTAAGTATATGAGGGTCATAGGGTGGTCTTGGGTTCTCTGTGCCTTTGAATTCCCCTACGCTCCTCTTGGGGAATATCTGATTTTTCTCTTTCATTGATGCTGTCAATGGGAAATTGTTTGGACCTGGACACTCTAGAATCAATTTGAGGATGTAAGTGCAGAGTCCAGCAGGATGAATACAGTATCACTAGACTTGTCCCCATGACTATACTGAAACTTTCCAGAACCCAAGGGGGGCACACCCAATGTTGTCTTTGTGGTGGGACTTTAAGTATCCTTAGGGAGGTTCCATCTAATTAGTTTAGGGTCATCAACCCCTCCCACAATTATCATCATGTGTTTGCTTTTGTTCTTGATAGTTTACATAATTTGTGTAGACATCCTTATTGACTTATGACTTTTGTCAATCTTTTTGGAGGCAATGAGCAACCAGGATGATTGGTAATTGAACAGGCTTTCAATTTCAGCAAGCCTTTAGGAAAGAAGAGCATTCATGATCTGGAAACAGAGTCCAGAAGACATTCTGAAATTCATCTCAGGTGGTACGGAGTCCCTGACACCATATCATTTTAGAGTGAATAAAGGGGGAAGCCCTGAGAATAACAAGAAAAGGAGGAACTGGTCATTGCAAAAAAGCAGGGGGAGTACAACCAATGGTTCTGGGTGGCTCTCAAGGCATACTTTGTCCCAGCTGAAGGAAAGAGTAGCCAGGCTTGAGGCCGAAGTCCTGCTATTTTAAGGCCAGAGGAGCCTGAGCCAATAGGACGAACCCTGGGATCGGGTAAGAGAGTCCTGGTGTGGTCTGGGTGCTCTGCCCCAGAGTGACAGTGACTGGTTAGGTACACAGGCATCCTCTGGTGAAGCTGTCCTAAGCACATTTGCATACTTAATGTTAACCCACTGGGGTGTGCTCAAAGCCAGGGCTTCTGGATCTGACAATCTTCTCTGTGTTTCATCTACTTTCTTGCCTTGTACCCCTCTTCCCTTCATCCTTGTCTGCCTGTCTTCTGTTTTCCCCTTCCCACAGTCATTCATTTATTCATCGATTAATCATTTCTACATGCCAGGAATAGAGTGGTAAGACACTCCATAAAACACTCACTAAACCAGCCCTTATGAAATTTGCCCTCCAGAAACATGTACCACAATAAAATATGATGCATCTTATGAAGGAGGATGTAGATGGTGCTATGGTGCTTTTTCTCTCTCCCCTCATCTTGTTTTCCCTTTTTCCTCCAGTCTCCATTTAAACTCTTCCTTTTGTTTTTCCTGTCTGTCCTTCTCTCTATCCCTTGGCCTCACCCTGAACCCTGACAATGCTCAGTTCTCATTATAGAAGGGATTTTCCCCATCTCCAGCCCCCATGTGCACACACTCTCATGTCTGCGCAGTCACTTCCCTGCTCACACATTCAACACTTCCCATCAGGGGCACAAGCATTAGATCCCTCTCACTTGGGAACAGAGGAAACACAGCTGCTGCCCCTCACTGGAGTCAGATCCTGAGACACATAAAATTCAGAGGGATTAGTGTTTCATGGTGAGCCAGAATCAAAAATAAAGCCCAGAAAAGAAATTTTAAAAACCCCAGAATTCATGTGAAGAAGTTAAAATTTGGGAAATCTTGAGGGCATCTTGCTGAGTTGAATAAGTCAGACAGAAAAAGACAACTACTGTATGATATCATTTATATGCGGAATCTAAAAAAAAAGAGTGGGGTGGGGAATGAGCTCATAGATAGAACAGATTGGTAGTTGTGAGAGGCAGGGCATGGGGGAGGTGGGTGAAATGGGTAAAGGGCGTCAAAAGGTACAGACTTCCAGTTATAAAATAAATAAGTTATAGGATATAATGTACAGCATGGTGTCTATAGTTAATCCTGTATTTGCATATAAAATTGTTTAACTATGGGATAATGCATGTTAACTAGACCTATTATGGTGATCATTTCACAATACATACAAATATTGAAACATTATGCTGTATACCTGAAACTAACACAATGTTAGGTATCAGTTATACCTCAACCTAAAGAGAGCTTAAAATGTGATACACATCAGTCTACAGAACATTTTCTGCATATATTTTACAACTGTATGAGATCCGGCAGGTAACCTCTCATCTCCATTCACAGATCCATATTCTATGGCTGAGAGAGATAAGCACTTGTTGATCATGGCCATGTCAGGGTTCAATCTTGGGTCCTCTAACAAGTCCCCATTAATTCCTGTTGGGAACTCACAGCAACCTGGAAGGGAGGCCTTTGCCCCAGAGGTTGTCACCTCTGTTTAACAGCTCCTGCCCCCTCAGGGGTTTTTATACTGAGCCTCAATCTCCCTGCCTACATGCATGTACCTATGATCATGTATGTGTGCAAGTGTACCCACACACACACACCACTCACATAGACACATCCTGCTCCACTCCCCTCAACTGCTTGCTCTGATTCCCACTAATTCTCACTTACCTCCCATTTGGAGGGATAGAATTCAATATCAGATGCTTAATTGAGCAACTGAGAAAAGGAATGTGATCTCTCATTCATTATTTCTTCCATGACCCTTTTTTCTAAGTGTCCCTAAACACACACACACACACAAACACACACCATCCCTCCAAGTTGATGTTATAAACTTACTCAGATGCCGCAAATCCACCTCCACATGAGAGAGTCTCTTTATCACTGTCTTGTTCCATTCAGACGAAGCCAAATGAAGCTGCTTTTGGAGATTTCCCCAAATCAACTTTTGTAATGTCCTCCTGGTATAAAATACCAGGAGGACATTGGTGGCAATAACCAGAGCCAGCCCAATGCAGAGGATTTGGGGGACATTTCTCCTGGACATCATACCCTGCCTCTGAAACTGTCACCTCCTGCGGGCCTGAATGTGTCACTGCCCAGGTAAGCTAAGGATCACAATCAGCTGAGCTTTGTCTCTGCCCGCTGCTGCCTGCTAAGCCAGATGTTCTTCAACTGGAAAAGCTGTCACAAGCTGCCTGGCTTCTCCCTGAGCAGTGTCACATGTGTGGAGTGTGCCAGGGAAGCCACCCAATGACTGGGAGGGTACCTGGGCACACCTTGCACTATCTTAGAAGTCAGGTTAATGCTTGCCCCTGGAGCTACTTCAGGCTGTGGTGGGGGAGGCTTTTCTCTCTCTGTTTTGTTTCATTTTATTTTGTTTTTTAATGCTGTAATGCTCCCTCTCTCTGGTAAAATTGCTCTCTGAAAGGGCATGTGAAGTATAGGAGATAAGTAATTTGAAAAAAGAATCCACAAAATGGGAAGCTTCCATACTACATGATTTTGAAAACAAGAATCACATCTCAGATGTCCTTTTATCTAACTCTACAGAGTCTTGAACATATTAGACGTGCAGCAAATGCTAGTTCAACAAACTTGAGGAAAGACTGTCCTGCTGGATCTACCTAGAAACAGGTGGATGAGCTGGAAGCAGCCCCTGAGGGTGAGCCCCAGGGGATGGTCATGCTTCACTGGTCCCACCCTCTTTTGTCATCTACACAGCTCCATACAACATAGTTCTACTCTGTCCCAACTTCCAGTAACTCTTCTGCTTCCATACCTCACATTCACTATATGTTTGAACAAATCACCTAGTCATCATCATTGTTAATTAAATACTTCAAATTGTTCTCCAGAGCCAAAAATTCAAAGTTGTTATTCTGCTGTTGGGTCCCTCCATAATATCTCCCACCCCATCCCAATCCCTTGAACTCTTTACTAGGTTCCCAAACATGGTATATGCAGACAAGAGCCAAAGTAGACATGTGGATTAAAGTAAAGAAATGTGGATCTTGGAAAATCAGGTAAGATGAAAAAGAACAAAATGAAAAGTAATCAGGTGGAGTTTTTTTGTTTGTTTTCATCATCTTTCCCATGCTTTCACCTGCAAACTGGAGTGAAAAATAAATTAAAAATGCATGATCATTTCTGTTTCTGGCATGAAATGGGGTAGATCCACTTATCCCTATTCCTCCCCACTAAGATCAGCTAAAAACTCTGGACATTATATATAAAACCTACATAAGAAGAATGAAAGGTGGAGAAAAAGTGGGCAGACTGGCTGGAGATCTTGGGACCTGAGGAATGACAGCAGTGGGTTCTCCATGTTTTCTTCCTCCTACTATAGCCTACCCTGGATGCTGGAGAAGTTGTTAAACTATAAATGCCAGTAAGAAAAGACAATAAGGGGAAATCGGAGGGGGAGACAAACCATGAGAGACTATGGACTCTGAGAAACAAACTGAGCGTTCTAGAGGGGAGGGGGGTGGGGGGAAGGGTTAGCCTGGTGATGGGTATTAAAGAGGGCACATACTGTATGGAGCACTGGGTGTTATACACAATGAATCATGGAACACTACATCAAAAACTAATGATGTAATGTATGGTGATTAACATAACATAATAAAATAAAATAAATAAAAAGTAAAAAAAAAGAAATTACATTAAAAAAAAAGACAATAAAAGCCTCCAAGAATCTTGGACAATAAAAGAATCTTGGACAATAAAAGCCTGCTCTCTCTAGCCAAAGGAACAGAAAAAGGACAACCCAGTAAGAAAAAAATGTTTAGATAATAACTGACCTACCCCAGCCGACAGCCAGGAATGAAAAACCTGCTGTTTGCCATGGCCATCCCATTGACAAAGACCATGTGGGGAGCTTCGGTTTCCACTCCCCCTCCAAAATGGTTCAGAGAAAGCCGAGTAGGGAAGGCATAACTTTTATCCCTGTTCCCCCGTGATGCCAGTAAGGGAATAATAACAAAATGGCTCTCACTCACCCTAGAGCTATCAGCAGACACCTAGTGGGGAACTTGAACTTTCTCCCTCAGCAGTATAATGAGGCACCCCTGCCCCACCAAGTTTCGATGGAGGCCAAGTAGTAAACCCGGATTTCTGTTCCCACATGATGTAACAAGGTGGCATCTCCCTTTCCCCAGCAAGGCAGTGTCAGAAAACTTGCTAAAACAGAAGATTTAAATAAAATTGAGTCCAATAACATAATACCCCCAATGTCCAGGATGCAATCAAAGATCACTTGTCATACCAAATCTCAACTTGAATGGAAAAAGGCAATCAACAGACACCAACATCTATATGACACAGATGTTAGAATTGTCTGAAAAAAAAATTAAAGTAGCCATCATAAAAATACTTCAGTGAGCAGTTATAAACATGCTTCAAACGAATGAAAAAAATAGTAAGTCTCAGCAAAGAAATAGCAGGTCTCAGGAAAGAAATAGAAGACATAGAGAAAAACCAAATGGAAATTTTAGAACTGAAAAATACAATAAATAAAAATTTTAAATCACAGAAAGAGCCTTAGCAGCACAATGAAGAAGATAGAGAAAAGAATCAGGGAACTTGATTAGAAGATAGAATAGAAATTACTCAATCTGAACAACAAAGTGAGAAAAGACTTGAAAAATAATAACAGAGGGATGCCTGGGTGGCTCAGTCAGTTAAGTGTCTGCCTTCGGCTCAGGTCATGATCCTAGGGTCCTGGGATGGAGCCCCACATGGGGCTCCTTGCTCAGCAGGGAGTCTGCTTCTCCCTCTGCCTGCCGCTCCCTCTGCTTGTGCTCTCTCTCCCTCTCTCTCTGACAAATAAATAAAATCTTTAAAATAATAATGATAACAGAGGCTCAAGAACCTGAGTCTCCAACAAAATATCTAATATTTCATCTGTGTCCCAGAAGGAGAGGAATGTGAGGCTAAACAACAATTCAAAGAAATAAGGGCTAAAAATTAACCAAAGTTGGCAAAAGACATAAATTTACAAACTTAAAAAGCTGGGTGAACTGCGAAGAGGATAAATCAAAGAAATCTACACCAAGTCATATCATAATCGAACTTCTGAAAACTAAAAAAGAAAAGAAAGAAAAAATTCTTAAGAGCAGCAAGAGAGAAATGACAGCTCACCTATAGGGAAAAAACAATGTAAATGACAGCAGATTTCCCATCAGAAATCACAAAAACCAAATGGAAGTGTCACAACATTTGTCAAGTGGGTAAAGAAAAGAATGGTCAATCCAGAATCCTTTATCCACAAAAATATTGCTCAAGAATGGCAGAGAAATCAACACATTCTCAGACAAAAAAAAACAAAAAAAAAGAAAAGAAAGAAAGAAAGAAAGAAGGAAAGAAAGAAAGAAGAAAGAAAGAGAGAGAGAGAA